GGGAGATGTGCACCGGGTGCCGGAGGGCGGCCGCAATATCGGAGGTGGGCTGGCATGAAGCAGAAGGGGGATGGGGACAGATTGCGGCAGAGACGGGACCTGAGGGACTCTGAGAAATAAACAGAGCTGCTGCTTCTGCTTGGGGTTGATCGTCTGGGGATGTTTTGGGGAGTTTGCTGAAAGATAGTATGTAGATGTAATGGACTTAAAAAGACCAAGCAAGCAACCAAAAAAACCCCAAACACCCCACCCCCAAACAACAAATGTCATGAATCTTCCCCAAAGTATCACCCTACTGAACTTGGAAGCAGGCTGTGCCTCAGCTGCTGTGCTTTTTCTATCAAGCAGGGAATGAAATTTGTCCTAGAAAAAGGCTGCCCTTGGGAGCGGGAGGATCATGGCCTGGCATTGCTAGCTTAGGGCTTGGCGAGTCCTGTCTTGCTCCAAGGAGCTGCTGCCCCCCCAAGTCATCCCCGTCACTGATGGGACACGGTGGGACGAGACTTTGCAGCCCCTCTGCCCGTACGGGGCCTGGCTGCCCTTTCCCTGCCTGCCTGCAGCACCTCTGCAGCAGCAGAGGGGAGCTGGTGGTGAAGCGGAGGCAGCGCTCGGAGCCACCACGGTCGCAGGCAGAACCTGACAGCCCTGGGCTTGCCAGGGAGTTTCCAGGGAAGGAAGCGAGACCAAAAGGCGGAGTGAGGGTTTGAACAAGCTGCCTGGGGCCTCGCTCCTACCCTGTGTTGGGTGAAGCCCACCCAGCTCTGCTCTGGCCATCCCCTGGCTCTCGATGCAAGGTGCATGGTGGATGTAAGCCGTGGGCTGTAGGAATGGTGGGCAGCGGTGGTCACCGGCTGGGGGATATCTAGGAATAAAGAGAATAAAGCTTCAGACGCCTGGAAGCCTCAAAACAGTGGGGTGGGTATTGCCCTTCTGTGCCAGATGGGGAAACTGAGGCACTGAGAGGAACTGACTTGAGCAAGGTCCTGCTGGGAGGCTTTTCTGCAGCAATTGGGGGCTCGGCTCCGGGGTTGGGCTGCTTGGAGAAGTCTGAGACCAGACACAGCTCTGCAGTTTCATTAAAGCTCAGTTTGCTGCTGGCTGCTAAAAATGCAGAAGTTTTGCTTGCAGGAAACCAAATGTAAATCAGCCGTGAGAGCACAAAAGCACACACT